AAGATTTGTGCCCAATATGTCTGTATAGAAAACAACACAATCTTGATCAGTTGGACCCTGCCAGCATAGGATAGAAATTTGGCAGTCCATGATTCTATTCTTCCCATTATCTTGTCAATTAGATGTAGGCACTGAGATATGGATATTCTTTTTGAACTTAGTGGGGCACCTAGATACCTTACTGGCAGCTCACCCTTTTTGATTCCTAGGAACTTTGTGATTTCCTCTTGATCAGTTTGTGATACTCCCCCAAAGAAGATAGAACTATTGTGTTTGTTGATCACCAGGCCAGAGGCATTTGAAAACTCCATGAAGCATTGTAACAAAAGCTTTATTGAAACTTTATCACCACTGCAAAACAATAAAAGGTCATCAGCAAACCCCAGCTGCAAGATTTTCATCTTTGCACACTTAGGGTGGTAGTTAAAATCTGGGATTTGGTTCAGTGTTTTGAGGCTTCTTGTTAAATATTCCATTGCTAGCACAAACAGAAATGGAGACATAGGGTCTCCTTGCCTTAACCCCTTCTTAGCCTCAAATGGTTTTGTCAGGTTCCCATTTATCATCACAGTATAAGTAACAGTCTCCATGCATGACATAATCCACTTCACAAATTTGTCTGGGAAAGCCAGTGCATTTAGAACTTGTTCCATGAATGGCCATTCAATGGAATCATAGGCTTTCTGTATGTCTAATTTCATCATACATCTGGGTGATACTCCTCTCCTTCCATAGCCTTTCACTAGTTCATGACTTAGGATTATGTTATCAGTTATCACTCTTCCAGGCACAAAAGCTGATTGTGTGTTATCTACTAAGTCATCCATAACTTTCTGCAATCTCCTAGTTATAACCTTGGAGATCACTTTATACAGAACTGTGCAACATGAGATAGGCCTATATTCTTTAACACTCACAGGGTTTCTGACCTTAGACACTAAGGTTATTGCTGTACAGTTGATAGGTTTGTGCATCTGTACTATTTCAAAGAATTCCATCACTGCCATTGTTATATCTTCCCCTACAATCTGCCAAGTCTTTTTGAAAAATAGAGCATTAAACCCATCATAACCAGGTGCTTTAAGATCACTGATATCCTTCATGGCTTACCACACTTCCTCTTTTGAGATTGTCTTTATTAGCTGAACCTGTTGGTCTCTATTTAAAGTTGTTCCCAACTTCATGACATTTGGGTTGATGGCTGGTATGCTTTCAGCTCTTGATCCAAGCAATTTTTTATAATATCCTAGTATCTCTGCTTCTATATCATCCTCCATAATAAGTTGAGTTCCCACCTCATTTGTTAAACTTTGAATTCCATTCAAGTGAGACTTGTTCTTCATTTGTGCAAAAAAAATAGGCTGAATTAGAGTCTCCCAACTTCAACTAGTGCACTCTTGACTTTTGTCTGTATATGCTTTCTTCTAATTTTTCTAATTCACCCTTCAGTTCTTTTTCTTTGTCAATCAACTCCTTATTCTGCAGCTTTGAACTCATTTCCTCATGTATTCCTTGCAATTCCCTCCTTAAATCTTTTATCTTGTCATCAACCCCTTTGTAATGTTGAGTGTTTAGGTTCTTGATGGCCTCCTTTACCCCTTTGAGATTGTTCCATACTTTCTGCATTCTACCATTTGTGCTTCCATCCTTCCAAGCTTCTTCTATGTGTTTCATGAACTGAGGATGTTCAGTAATACAGTTAAAGAACTTAAATGGTCTGTTCTTCTTTCCTTGTGCCTGATATATTACTAATTTTAGTGGTGAATGATCAGATACCATTGGTTCCAGTATCTGAACTTTCACATGTAGCATAGTCATCATCCAAGCTATATTTACAAGCCCCTATCAATTCTGCTATAGGTATGATTATTAGTCCAGGTGTAGTGCCTCCCCACATACTGCAACTCATTCATCCCTGTATCCCTCATATACTCCTTAAAATCTTTTGTTTCCATATCTTGGACCTCTGTACCACATAGTCTATCTTGTGGATGTACTGCAACATTATAGTCTCCCATAGCTATCCAAGGTCCTTGTTGTATGTTGTGGATTTGCCTCATCTTGTCCCATAGCTTCAATCTATCTTTCACAGTATGTAATCCATATACTGCTGAAAAACCAAATATAACAGCTTTTGCAATAACTTTGACTTGACCATGTATCAGTTGCTCCTCTATTTCCACTGGCTCAAATGTGTATATTCTGGGATCCCACATGATCCAGATTCTTCTTTTATAGTTTACACTTGAATTGGATACCCATTCCCAACCAGGTGCTATCTTCTTGATCACTGCATTCTCTTTTTGATCTTTTACTCTATGTTCTACTAAAGTTATTATTGCTTTATTGTTCCCTCTTATAAACTCCTTTATCTCCTTTTGCTTATAAGTCTTATTCAGCCCCCTCACATTCCAAGTTATCACACTCATACAGGTATAAAGTATGGGTGTTGATACAACCCTTGCACCTCTGAACTCCTCCCCTACATAGCACTTGTACCTGGTTCATCATATGCTTGATTCTTTGCTAGACTTTGGAATCCATTGCTTCCAGATATCTCCTGGTCCTCTGCTTGTTTGGATTTAGCTGCCCTAGCTACTCATTTTCCTAGGACAGTTATCCACCCCTCTTCCTTTCCCAGGCTATCATTGCTTGTTAGATCTGGTTCATTCTGTTGGTTAGCCACTGATGCTTCATTTTGTACATCAACCTTTTTCTCATCAGCCTTCTTCACATTATCATGTTGCCTGTCATTTCTGAGCCAGACTTGCTTATTCTTTATTATCTTCCTCTGCTGCACCACTCTTTGAGGCTAAACTATTTTAGTTTCTACACAATCATGCCCTATTTTCAAGCATTTTGTGCAGTATTTTGGCTCCCAATCATAAGTGACTTCTTGCTGGATTAACCTTCCGTTGTGATCCTGTAGCTTCACATATCTAGGTAGAGGCTTTGTAATGTCCATTTCTATCAGCATACGTGCATAAGAAATCCTAACTGACTCAGTAGCACATTCATCTGCATATATTGGATTCCCCAATGTGCTACCTATCTTGCTTAAAGCCTTCATACCCCAGCAATTTATGGGTAAGTTTGGAAACCTCACCCATAGGGGAATGGTTTTCAGGACCTCATCTTGTACATTAAAGTCATCTGACCAAGCCTTCATTATCACAGGTTTGTTGTAGTCGTATGTGGACCAGAGTATAGCACTGGATCCCTCTCCTCTAAATTAGTGAATCTTATTACAAAATATCCCTCATTATGATAGAAGATTTGTGGCTTCACTGAGAACTTACCCACTAAGGTCAGAAATCGATCCATTGCTCCAATTGTGGGTGTTTCCCCAATCACATATAGAACAATAGCAGACCTCCATTTCTTAGTTTCTAGTTCGACATCTTCCATTTCTAGCTTAGCAATTTTCCCCCATTTTGAACTGTTGGAGCTATGTACTGTAAATTCATACCTTTCATAGCCAACCTGTTG